ACATTGTGTCATGCTGGCTGGGGAGGATGGAACTGGAGTGCATCGCACCCGGAGGGTCCCAGGTCAGGGGAGGCCTGCCTTCTGTGCCCAGCCTGGCCGTTGTGCCGCCCGAAGGGATGCAGTTCGCAAGACGGCCCGGGGCTGCCCGGCAGGGGAACGCCCCGGACTCCTCCCGGCCAGCGCCTCAGCTCGGGCAGCCTCGCCCGAGACGAAGGGAGCTGCCAGGCCCCTGATGCCAGGCAGAGGGGTGGATCAGCCCCCACGTCCTCCGGCCGAGAGGGAGCTGGGAGGGGTCTTATTCGCCCACCACCCCAAAAGTGGCCCTCCGCCGACTCGAGGAACAGGCCGTCTCCTCTCCCCGGAAGGCTTCCCGTGCCGCGGGCGGCCTCTCCTGGACCCGCTCCGGCCTCGCCCGCGTTCCGCATGAAGAGCCGCTGAATTAGGACGCCTGGGCGGAGGGGGCTGCTTTGCATCTGTTTTCTCAGCTGCGCCGCTTCCGTTTGTCGCTCTGGGAGCAAAGACCCTGCCCGTGGCTGCCAGCCGTCTCCACCCCAAGCCCCTCGGCACCCTCGATCTCACAGACGTCTCCCGCGCTCGCCCCGTCTCGTTGCTGCAGCCTTCCGGGACAGAAACAGGAATTCTGTGCTGGATAAGCAAGATCTGCACTTGATGTTGCAGCTGTGCGACGTTCCCGCCGCTCTGGCTAGAGGGGCGCCTGGGAAGCTGCCCCCCCGGCCCATGCGGTGGGGATTGGGACCAGGCAGCCCTGCGTGCCTGGGGGCTGAAGGCGAGGGTCCGGCAGCTGCTTACCCTGCCCGTCCTCCTCCTCTGCTCTGCTCTGCAGAGGTGGCTGCCTGGGCACCGCTGCTTCGGGCACATGCCCAGTGGCACTTTCCTGGCCATGCGCAGACTGCTCAGGCGTGACTCGGAGGTGTTGCCAGCGGTTCTGCCGTGGCCCGCTCGGCAGCACTGGGGTGCTTCTCCCCCCTTGCTTGGCCTGTCTCCGTGGCCGGCCGGAGGTGTCAGGCTGGGGAGCTGATGGCGGTGTCCGTGCCATCGGGGAGCCCTGGCCGCCTTCACCGCACCAGGCTGCGGTTCCAGCGGGGGGGAGAAGTCGCTAGAGAGATGCTGAGATGAGCCCCGGGATGGCACGGCCCATTCGGACGGGTTGCAGTCCCCTGCGGGAGGGGAAGCTTCCGGGGAGCCGGAGTGGCCCCCAGACTTGGCAGAATGGAGGGGGGACCCCTCCTCAAAGGCATGGGTCTGTCCAGCAGGGCTGCGGGGCAGAGAGGGGGATCACGGTCGTTGCAGCTCAGGCTCACTGCGCCGCTTGTCCAGGCCTCTGAACTCTGCCTGGGGTTCAGTGGGTGGGTGGGAGCTCCCCTTGAATCAGGGGGCTCCCCGCTTCGGAGAGGAAGGCAGGGCTCCCGAACAGCCTTCTTGCCGTTATCGTTGTTACTGTTACTTCATCTCTGTACCGCCCGAGCCGAAGCTCTCTGAGGGTTTACAGCAAAGCATAAAAGCAACAGAGTAGAGGAAAACCTTACCAAGAACCAACCCTTGATTTAGAATAGCATCAAAAGCATGTTAAAAAGGCAAGAGAAAGACCCAGCCAAGAACACCAGAAAGCTTGCGGTGCTGTGCGCATTCAGGCAGAAGACGTCCCCAGCGTCTCCTGGCAGGTGTGCCCCATGGGAAGCGGGGGGCAACCTGTGGCGCCCCCACTCCTGGCGTGCAAGGAGGTTGCCTCGTTCCGACGATGTGGTCCCCATGTCCTTCCGGCTCAGTGATGGCTCGATTGTGCCTGGCGGCTGCAGTCGGCAGAGCTGAGGGGCGGATCAGTGCCACCGGCCACGAGGAGGCAGAGGTGGTGGTGGGCGGGGTGGGGGGCAAAGCAGGAGGGCTCGCTGGGCACCGAGGGAGCAGGTGAAGGGAGGCTTGTGTCACCTGGAGCAGCCCCGGCCACCCAGCCCCACTCTGGGCCAGCACCGTCCCCCCAGCCTTCCCTTAGGGGTGTCTCTTGCTTGGTGGGCCTTCCCCGCAGGCCTCCCATGAAAAGCGTGAGCAGCCTGCGTGCGCGTGCAGGGGGCAGAAAGCTTGGCCTTGGTCAACACTGGCACGCTGGAGAGTTTTAACAGCAAGGACTAGGAGCTTGGCATCGATGCAAAATACGGCCCGGAGTTGGCCAGCGTGTTCTGTTAAGGGAGAGGGTCACTCACGCCTCTGCTGTGGACATCAGGGCCCCCTGCTCTGTGGGGCAGGAGCGCGAGCTGCAAAGTAGCCCCCTCCCCCCACAGAGAAGCATGTTCCAGAAATCCAGAAAACGTTGCCCAGACCCACCCCTGCCGCACTCGTGTTGCATGGCCATTCCTGCTGCCAGGTGCTGACCTGGAGCACGGCAGGTGCCGTTCCAGGGTCCCCGGTTTCAGCCTCAGGTAGAAGGTGAGCGGGGAGCTCCTGGGCAGATCGTGCGCCGTCCCTCCGAGCAGACCAGGGCTCCGAATCCCTCTGGGGCTGCAGCTGGTGGCGAGGGAGGCGGCTTCCAGGCACCCCTGGGGGGTCTGGCGAAGCCCTTCTGGGGAGGAGCCCTTCTCGGGGCCTGATCCAAGAAACGCAGGAGGCGTGTGGGGGCGGGTGCAGTGCAGGCTTGGCTGCCCCCTGGATGTGGGTCCCGTGCAGAGGGCTGCAGCCTTCGCGCGCTGCTCTGCTGTGGCTCGGCGGCAGTGGGAGGAGCAGCGGCCGCAGAGCTGGGGCGTTGCGCGGGGCTTCGGCGTGGGCGCCTCCAGAGCAGCCATCTTGCCTGGTGCGAAGCGGATCCACGCAGCCTCGCGCTCTGCATCTGTTCCACGGGCCTGCGACGCCTGGCACTTGCCGGCTACGAGGCCGGCACGATTTGCAGGCGCTGATGCAGCAGGGGCCCTCCGGCGAGGCCCCCCGGCGGATGCGGGGGCGGCGGCAGGGAGCCGTCAGATGAGGCAGGGTGCTTCAGATGGGGCCGGCGGCGATGCTCCCTGGCTGGAGGACCCCGCAGAGGCTTGGCCCCGCGACTCGGCCCGTGCCATCTCGGTCGGTTCCTCCTCCACCCTGGGGGCCTCGTGTGTGGAAGAGGCAGCGGTGCAGGAAGGGCGGCGCACGCTCTGCTCTGCTCCGCTTCGGGTGCTGCCCAGAGCAGGGGAAGGCCCCGCAGGGCACGGTGGGTCCCGCCAGGCGCCACAGGCTCCGCACCGGCCCTTGTTCCTCGCTCCCTTGGCCCTCGGCACACACGGCTCGCCCGGCGCTCGTGGTGGGAGCTGGCCAGGCGGAGGCCCAGTCGGTCCATCTTGGCTGGGCTCTGGGCCGGCTCGGCCGCAGCGGGGGACGTGTGGGGCTCCGTTCGGGTCGGCCCCTGGCTGCAGCCGTCGTCAGGCCTGCTTGTTCCAGCTTCCACTTGTTGATGGAACTGGATGTTTTAATCGGGTCTGTAGAATGGTTTCTGCGTGCACACGTGCACATGCACTTCTGTGCATTCGAGCAAGTCCCGCCTCTGGAAGGGTGTTGGGTTTCTTTTAATGGTCTGCGGGTTTGGGGAATCTGTGGGACTCTGGAAAGTTGTGCTGTGGGTCTCACAGAAAGAAATAGGGTTAATGCGAACCCACTGCCACCCTTCGCTCCAGCCTTGCGGCTGCCGCGCCTGGGCAGGGGAGCCTCGGAGGAGAGTCGGGGGCTTGAACCCACCCCATTCCGTATGGGGTGCTCTATCCGTCGGCCTGCCTTCCTCAGCCAGGCTCTGACTGCAGGGTTTGGACTACCAAGGCCATGATCCCACAGCCGGTTGTAGGCAAACACATCCCCAAATCCGCGCATTGGTATGGCTCCGCGCCGGGACAGCAGCTCACGGGTCTCCACTGCCCACTCAGGATGATGCCCCCCCCCCCAAAAGACCTTGCATTCCATCCAGGGCAGCGGATCTCCCGTTGCAGCTAAGCTGTGGGGGGGGGGGCAGGGGCTTCGGATGGGGAGTCCAGGGGCTTGGAGCAGGGCCGGGCCCCCTCCCCGGGAGCCCTGTGCAGCCACGCCCACACTGGCTTTGGAGCGACGGGGGCAGAGGCTTCCGCCCACCCCCCCTGCAGGCCCTGGATGGGAGGGACCCACACACGGCGTGGGAGGGGAAGGTCGGCCTCAAGTGCTCAGCCAGGCAACCTCTTAGTCACTCCTCAGCTAAATAAGCTCAAATCGGCATGGAAAAATTATGCAAAGCGCATCTTCGCTGTTTTCCTCACGTGCGCTCACGGCCTGGCCTGGCTTTCGGGGAGGGCGGTGCGCCCGATCTCCCTGGGGCGCGTGTCCTCCGTGCCGGAGAGGCAGCCACGGAGGAGCTGCCGTCAGCAGGGCTGTTCCCTCGCGCCACCCATGTCCCCCTGCGTGCCGCCCTGGGCACCTGTGGGCACAGACAGGTCTGCAGCTCCCGGCATGTGCCGGCTCGCAGGATGCTTGGGGTGTGCCGGGTCCAGCGGTGGTGAGGAGCCTGAGCTGTGAGCCAGAAGGTTCGCGGTTCCGATACTCCCGCGGCCCCAGGCGCTTGCCTCCCCACGCGGGGTCTCTCTGAGGGGCTGCGGCGAGAGGGCGGGGGCAACCCTCTCTTGCGCGTGTCCGGAGCAAGCCCAGAGCGTGCGCGAAGGCGCCGAGGTCCTGGGCCCGACCCACCAGCGCCCGTTCCGCCTGGAAGCGCCGGTCCCAGCCTAGTGCCCGGTGGGGGCAGAGCTCCATCCCGCCGGCACCGGGGCGGGTGGGTGCCGCCCCCCTTCGCCCTTCGCGCACTCCCTGTCCCCCGATGGGGAGCCACTCACTGCCGGGGGGGGGATCGGGGCTGGTCGGGCAGGAGGAGCAGCTCCTGCTGAGCCCCCCGCCGGCGGGAGAGGCTGCCCTGCCCAGCCCCGTGCTGGCTGGATGTCGGAGGGCGGGGGCCCGGGCCTCTGGCGGCCACAGCACCGGTTCCATGCGCCTCTCTCCTTTGCTTGCAGAGCCCCAGCTGAAAGGAATCGTGACCCGGCTGTTCAGCCAGCAGGAGTTCTTCCTGCAGATGCACCCGGATGGGACGATCGATGGGACCAAGGACGAGAACAGCGACTACAGTGAGTCCCCCTTCTTCTGCCCCCCGCTTCTCATCTCGCCCCTCGCTTTGTGGGAGAAGGGGCTGAACTGCAGCCGGGGCAGCTGCTCGCACGCCCAGGCCTGGCTCTCCCGCCAGAGCCTCCGCGTTAGATAAGTCCCGTCTGCTCCTCCTCCTCACATTCCCTCCGAACTCTCGCTTAGCAAGGAGGCCTGTTGAGCTCTTGGGGTGGGGGAGCGATGCTGGCGGCTGGCCAGGAGGGCGAGCCGCAGGGGCGGGGGCAGTCTGGAGGGCAGGCAGGGGGAGGACTCCTGGGGGTGTGCGGAGAGCACCCCTTGCCTGGCCAGCGCTGACCAAGAAGCCCAGCCCCGGAAGCACGGCTGCCCCAGCAAGGCAGGGGAGGGCCGCATGCCCCCCCGCGTTGCCCCTCGGGGCAAGTGTTGCGGGGGGTCTCACAGTCTCCCTGGCCGCCCGGGCGGGAGAGCAGGCAGGCACGCGAGTAGAATCGGCCCCGCGTTGCTGCTCGCAGCGGTCCCTTTCCCAGAAGGGCCTCCAGCACCGCTCCAGACCAGACCAGCTCGGCTCTTGCCCCTGCCCCTGTGCCCCGTGCCTGCGCCCCGGCAGCCGGCTCCCGGCCGGGGATCGCAGACACGCCGCCACGTCCGTGGCCAGACCCTCGTCACTTGCGTGGATGCGGTCGAGGCAGCGTAGGTGGCGTCCAGAGAGGGCCGCCCTGCCCCTTGGCGCTGTTATTCACCGTTATCCCTATCACGATCAGTTTCAAGAAAGCAGACCCAGAAACAGAAACGGCGACCGTGGCCCTGGAATCTTGCTAGGGGTGGGCACACGGTGCTGCCCCTCCCGGAAGGTGCTTTCCCGTCCGCTTGGCTCCGTGTCTCCCCACGGGAACCCCCTGAGGAGGGGCCCGGGCTAGAAGCACTTCGTGGGCAGAGCCACGCGGGGGAGGGCTCTCCACCCGAGGCTCTGGAGCGGTCTTGGGCCGGGCTGTGAGGGCTGCTCTGCGGGCCCGCCAGGTGGGTTCTGGTCAAGCCAGCGGAGAAAGTGGGTGGCACCTTCTGTTCCCCGCAATCCCTGGGGGTTGAACCGTGAGTCAGGATCGTGGGCTCAGGATCCCCGGTGGCTTGCTTCACCTGGCTGGGCAATCCTGGATCCGCCTCCGTGCTGGAGATCGGGTGCCGGTACAGCTCAGGTCGAGACCCAGAAGGACGCCTGGACAGGCCGGTGCGAGTGTGAGGACCGCGGAAGCACGCCGTCCACCTTCTGCACCCCTGCCGAGGCAGGCGGACATCGCCTCCCCTTGGCGCGGCCACTCGGCCCTCGTGCTCCGGGGCAAGCTTGGGGCCCCCCTCCCGCCTGGCTCCTGCACACCGTGGGCAGTGGTCTGCAGCCGGGAGGGAGCCGTTTCGGGTGCTCCTCGGCTGCCAGCCCCCTCATCTCCGCTTCCCCCACGTGCCCCTGAGCCTGCAGCCGTGCCCCCCACAGGCCTTGGACAGCTTCCCACAGCCCTCCGCCAGAGGTGCAGCCGGATCACGCTGGGACCCCATCCACAGAGCAGGCCCCTCCCGGCCCCCGCCCGCCCCTTCCTGGGGCCTCCTGGCCTGCACCGCCTCCCTTGCTTTGGCCAGCGGCCCTGTGGGCCCTCGGCAGCGGCTCTGCTGGCAGGGGCTGGGGGTGTTGCACCCGGGGCCGCAGGCTGCCCACCTCTGCTGGAGGCAGAGGACGCGGGGCCGGCGTTTCTGCCCTAGAGCCCAGCCTGGCTCTGCCTCCGTGCGGCGGGTCAGCTCCTCCCATCCGCTCCGGCCCTGCCGCCGGGCGACTGGGTCGTGACCCGGGGTGTTCGCCTGGCGGCCTGTCCCTCCAGCCCCCCCGTCCTGCTTGCCCGCCGTTTCGCCTGCTCTCTGGCTGTCGAGTCCCTTGCAGGGTCGGCCAACCTCGGCCCTCCAGGTGCACAGCGCCCATCATCCCTCTTGGTGCCTGTGCTGGCCGAGGCTGCCGGGAGGCGATGATGGAAGCCCCGGGAAAAGCGGCAGTGGCGCAGCCCCGCTTTGCCCCCCCCCCCCCCCCCGGCCGTGGGGCTGGCTGATGCGGCGTGTGCCCTGTGCCCGGGAAATTCCCTCCGCGGCCAGGCCTGGGGACCTGAAGGGCCGCCCTGGGGGCCGGGCCATCTTGCCCCCTCTGTGCCAAGGGTGACTGAAGGAAACGCAGGGGGAGATGGGGAGCCGTGGGGCGCCCTTCGGGGGCTGCGAGTGGCAGGGGACGTGGCTGCGGGCCGACCCACACTAAGCAGACGCGGAGGGCCCAGTGGGGCGGGAGCCCTTCCGGCACATCCGGTGTGGCGCCAGGTTTCTAGTATTTAAATAAGGGGGGCTGCTAATATTTAATTAGTTTTTGAAACTAATTATCTACTGTGTGCATCTTTTAATGCGTCTGCTCTGGGGAGGCTCATGAGATTTTTCCTCATGAGGCTCCAGGTTGGCGGTGTCCAGGCGGCATTTTGCAGAGCAGGGTCCGACCACGGTGGCTCTCGGGTTAGCACAAGGAAGGCACATCCAGCCACGGCCCGTCTCTGGGCGCCCCGCTGCGGCCCGCTGGCTTCTGGGGCCTTCCGGGGGGGGGGGGGGCAGGATTCCTTCGTGGGCCGGTGCCTGTGGCGGGCGCTCCAGGTGGCCCCGTGCTGCCCCCTCCTGGCCGGGAGCAGAGCTGCACGTGTGTTGGCTGCTGCAGGCCGCAGGGGGAGGGGGCGGGGGGGGCAAGGGCAATAGGCTGCTGGATTAGTGGCTGCCCCTTCGATCCCGCGGGTTTCTTCCCATCGTTCTTGGTACTATTTACGAGCATCATCACGACAAGGAAGAAGATGCTTCTTCCGTTTCCACGCAGGAGCTGCAGCTCCCCGGGTGGTTTACAGCATCCAGAAAGTACAAGATAAAATGCAGACGACAATCAAACATAAACATTTCACTACAGAGATTCTAAAAACGCGGCTTGCACTCAAATAGCTAAGCCACGTTCATAAAGCTCGGCCTGCCAAGCCATCCCCACGTGCTGTTTGGAGCGTGCCAATGCCTTGAACCGGAGGGCAGCCTTACCCGGGGGGGGGGGCAGGGGGGCGAGCGGCCCCGGGCGGGACTGCTGCGGAGAAGGCCTCTCCCGCATCCCCAGAGGCACCTGCCGTGCCGGAAGCGGCTGGAGGAGCGCCGCGTCCAGGTCAGTGGCAGCTGCAGGGGACGGAGGGCTGTACCACATGGCGGGATGGGCCATGGCAGGCATGTCAAGAGCCGAGCCGGCTGGAGCCAGGGGTCAGGCTAGATGGCCCGGGAGCCCGCTTCCGCCTTGCTCTGTTTCTGTGGCCCCAGAAGGACGTAGAGTTGGCACTGGGGGCCTCCATGGGAGCTTGTCCCATAACTCCCCCCCCCCACACTGAGCAGGTCTGCCTCTTCACTGTCCCCAGCCAAATCTCTTGCCGGTGGCAGCCAAAGGCAGCCCCGGAGCTCGAGCTCTGCGGCTGGGAGAGGCGTCCCCACAGGCCCCGCGGCCCAGCCAAGCCATGCGGGGCCCTGCAGGTCGAAACCAGCACCCTGAGCCGGGCGTGGAAGCCGATCGGCAGCCGGTGCCAGCCGGGCCGGATTGGTGTTGCGCGACCTGACCAGCTGCCCAGACCTTGTGCCCCCTGCCCTGCTTAGAGGCAGCGCCCCGACCCCTGGGGAAAGTGTTGAGGGAGCCCCCTCCTGGTCGGGGGCCTGGCTGGAGGGGGAGTGGGCGGAGAGGCCCCTGCGTGGCCCCTGCGGGCAGGAGCTGCCTCGCGCCACCCCTGCAGGCGCTCCCAGTGAAGGAGAGTGAGGTGGAGAGCTCTGTGGGCGGTGCTCCCGGGCCGGGGACGGAGCTGCACCCATGCCCCTCTCTCCCTGCCCACCTGCCCCCGCCTCTTGGCTTGCACCAGAGAGAGGCTGCGGGGGGCTATGGAAGGCAGCCTGTGGGGTGGGGCAGGGCGGGGCGGGGAAGGGGAGCCCCGGCCCCCTTCCCAGCCTCTCGGGCGTCCCCGAGGCGCCTGCTCCAGCTCGCTGCTTCTTGGCCCGCCTGGGACCTGCTTGGGGGCGCTGGCCGCCCTCCTGTGCCGTGCCCAAGGCTTCTGCTCAGCTGCCCCAGAGATGAGAACAGAGGCAGCACAGGAAGGAGGCTGCCCTGGCGGCCGGCGCACAAGAGCGGGTGTGCACAGGCGGCCTCCGAGTGAGGCACCTGGAGCCCTCGCGCCTGGCTGCGTCCCCAGCGCTGATCCCAGAAGGCTCCTGCACAGGAGCCCCTCGCAGTCGGCCTTCCAAGCCCACCTCCAGGGAAATGCTCGCCTCCGCTTGCTCACCCCCCCAGAGCACACTGGGGAGGTTGCCCCATGGAGCGGCTCCTCCCGAAAGGGGAGAACACCGTTTATGGTGGGAGGGTCGGAAGAGCTGCCCTCCCCCCCGCCCAGCCTCCTCTTCCCACAGCGGCCAGCCAGCTGCTGTTAGGAAGTCCGCACTTCCACTGAAGTGCTGCCCATGTTCCCCAGCAAACGGCATACCGCCGCAGGGTTCTTCTGACACTGTGGCGAAGCTGGAGCCCCCGTGGCCAGTAGCCGCCGGGAGCTCCCCGTGTTGCTCGCGAGAGCTGCGGCCAGGCCTGGGCTGCTCGGGGTTTGGGGCCGCCTTGGCCCCCGCCCAGGCTGCCGTGCGTGTGAGAAGCAGCCCCTGGAGCACTCTGGAGGCACCGATTCGATCCCTTTCGGCGCTGTGGCCTTTTGGGGCTCTGTGGTGCGCTGCGCACTCGGTGGCATCAAGCGCTGTGCTGGAAAGTGCTCAGTGGGACGTGGGAAGCAGCTTCCACCGGGCTTGTGGAAACGAGTGTCCGTCCGCCCCGCTGTCTTCCGCGAGCGGCTGGGGCAGCTGAGGGGGCAGGGGCCGTAAGGCCGTGCTCTGGGGCAAATGCATTTCGCTGTGCTGGCCCCGGGCACACGCCTCGGGCTTGCTGCTGAACGGGCCCTGACTCGCAGGCGAGGGGCTGGGGCTGGGGCTGGGGGCTGCAGCAGGCAGCCCTGAAAGTGGACTGCCCCCTGCAACTCTTTGAGGCAGCCCTTTGTCACAAGACGGATGGGTGGCGGGAGTGACGGATGGCAGCCATTTGCCTTCATTATCTGCAGTGATGTGCTCAATTTTTTTTTCAGTCAAAAGCGCTTATAAATAGACCTGCTAATTGCCAAGCTCTGGGCATGCTGGTGCGGCACGAGGGCCGGGCCGGGAGCACGGCCCTCTTTGCAGAACCCGGAATTCGATTAGCGCCTCTGGCCCAACTCCCAGCGCTGCTTCTGGAGCGGTCCTTAAAGGCACGTGCTGGGGATCTGCACTGGACCCCCCCCCCCTTTCGAATTGCTCAGGTGCCCAAGCAGCCCTTCCTCCAGGGAGGCCCAGCAGAGGGCGGTTTCTCTGGCCATTTTAGTGAATTCTCCCTCCTCGGTGCCGGTGCCGGTGCGGGACGCGCTCGGTTGGCAGCTCTGTGGGCCGGAACCGCCTCACCAGCTGCTTCCTGGGCCCTGGTGGACTTGGCCCCAAACCGGAGGCTCTGTGGGGCAGGCTCTGGCAGCCCCTCTCGCTTGAGCACAGGGCAAGCCCAGGGGCGGCGGCAGCAGGTGGAGCCGCTCGCACGTGGCCTGGTGCCGTGTTCGCAGCCATTCTGGCTCAGTGGCCGGGGGGACGTGGTGTTGGCACGGGCCAGCCAGCTTGAGCGAGCCAGTTCTGGTCACGGCAGCTGTAAATGCAGAAACATAAACAGCGCGAGTCAGAAGGGGTCTCCAGGGTCATCTAGCCTGACCCCCAGCTCCAGCCGGCTCTGCTCACGACATGCCCACCATGTGCATGTGCAGCCTATCCTTGAACACCCACACCGATGGGGCCTCAACGACCCCCCGTGGAGGCCATGTGACAAAACAGATATTGTCACAGAATCATAGCTCAGTAGAGTTGGGAGGAGCCATGAAGGCCATCCAGTTCAACCCCTGCCATTGCAGGACACAATGTGACACCATCCCACCCAGGTGGCTGCCCAGTTTCCTTCTGAATGCCTTCAGTGAGGGAGAGCCCCCCACCTCCCCAGGCAGCCGGTTCCACTGCCGTGTTGCTCTGACCGTGAGGAAGCTCTTCCTGATGCCCAGCCTGAATCTGGGCTGTCACAGCTCAACTTGATTCTTCCGTGTCCTGCACTCTGGCATCAGCGAGAAGAGATCTTGGCCTTCCTCTCTGTGACAGCATTTGAGGGACTGCTAGAGAGATATCATGTCCCCCCTCAGCCTCCTCTTCTCAAGACTGGACATGCCCAGTTCTCCCAGTCTCTCCTCATGGGGCAGTGTTCCAAACCCTGGGTCATTTCTGTTGCCCTCCTCTGGTCCCTTTCCGATTTTTCTGCACCTTTCTTAAATCTTGGTGCCCAGAACTGGACACGGTATTCCAGGTGAGGTCTGACTAGTGCGGAGTGTAGGGGAACTACTACTTCTCATGATTTGGAAGTAATACTTCTGTTAACACATCCCAGAATAGCATTTACCCTTTTGGCAGCTGCATTGCATTGTTAGCTCATGTTTAGCCTATTGTCCACAATCACTCCAAGGTCTTTTCCTTTTTCGGTTCTGCTGAGCCACATATTCTCCATCTATCGATGCGTCTGGTTTCTCTTTCCCTGGTGGAGGACTTGGCACTTGTCCCTACAGACTCTCATGCTGTTGCTTTCAGCCCAGTGTTCAAGTGTATCAAGATCGCCCTGGATCTTCATTGTGTCTTTTAGGGTGTTTGCTATTCCACCCAGTTTTGCATCATCTGCAAATCTGATTCTCTTTCCTTGCTCTTCCTCATCAAAATCATTAATAAAGATGTTGAAGAGCACCGGGCCCAGCACTGGAACGGAACTCGGCCTCCCTCTTTGGGACAGCCTTTGAGGGATTCATAGAGGGAGATGAAGTCCCCGCTCAGCCTTCTCTTCTCAAGGCCGAACCTGCCCAGTTCTCTCAGTGTCTCCTCACAGGGCAGCGTTTCCAAACCCCGGTTCACTGGAAAGAGTGCAGAAATGGGCAACGGATACGGGCAGGCCCCTCCGGGGGGGCGGGGGGCAGCTGTCAGCCCCTGGAAAAGGGCCAGTAAGCAGCAAGATGTCCATGCCAAACAAGATGGCACGTGGGGTGGAGAAAGTGGGGAAGGAGCCGGTTTCTCCCTCCCCCCTAACATGCGAGCCCAACGGCTGAGGCCGATCTGTGGGAGATTCGGGGCAGACCCACGGAGGGAGCCCCTCACCCAGCGCAGCGCCGAGCGATGGGCTTCCATGCGATGTGGCGAGGGCTCCCGCCTGGCAGGGCTCAAAGCGGACTGGCAGATTTGGGGCGTGGGGGAGGCTGTGCATGGCTCCCGGCCCCGGAGCACCCAGCTGCCCAAAGCGCCGCTCCCCCCGGGGGTCTCCCTCCCAGCTGTGGGGTCCGGCTGCCGGGGCCCTCCAGCCATGGCCCCCCGAGCACAGGGCCGCCTCCCTGGCTGTGGAAGCCCCTGCCCTGGGAGGGGGCGCGCCCCAGTGCTCGTTGGGTCCAGAACCGGTTCCTTTTGGATGGGCTTTGCTGCTGCAGTGGCTTAATTTAACTCATGTATTGATAGTTGCAGCTTTTTCATGTTCTTTTCTCACAGCAGGGCTTTTAGTCTGGCAATTTAGTTTTAATGATATAATGTTATGTTTTTGTGTTTGTGTTTAGGGCTCATTAGCTATTTTGCACAACTTGGGGTTTTTTTGTGGGGGGGAGAAGCATGGTGTCCCTTTTTGCAAATAAAGAACTGAGGAAGGAGAGGTCTGCTGTCTGGATTTCACCTGGATTTACTCAGTAGGAGGCAGGGCTTCTATCAGGGCTCACGAGTTCCAAGGCATAGAGTTGATTGGCAGGCACGTTTTAATCTTACTAAAACTTAATTTTCATTTTATGCACTCCAATTAATTAACAAACGTGAAACCCAGCAGCCTTATTAGTTCCCCGGGGTTTGATGGGTTGCGCGAATCTGATGCTGGCGCCCTGCTGACCTCGGGGTCGGCCCGTCCTGCGGCTGCTGCAGAGAAGGCTGGGCCAGCCCCACACACGCGGCCCACGGCACCCGTGCCCTGCTCAGACGGATGCCTCGGCCTCGCTTCGGATGTGGAGCCCTGAGCTGGGCCCCACACGTGACAGGAGGCACGCAAGGGCTGAGAAGGTGCTGGAGGGGCAGCCCACACGGGCCGGGGCTGCAAGGCGAGCGCCCAACAGCCTGGAAGAAGGGAGGCAGGCGAGGCGGGAGGCCCAGGGCAGAGCCGAGGAGGCCACTCTCCGTGGCCGAACTGGAATCCGCTGCCATGGGAACCGCGGGAGGCTGCTAATCCGGGCGGCTTTGGAAAGGGGCTGGGCGGCTGCATGGGGGAGGAGGCCGCCCGTGGCTACTGGCCGTGTGGGCTACCTGCGGCCTCCTCCGCTGGAGGCGGCCAGCCCGCATGCACCCGTTGCCGAGGGGCTCGGGCAGGAGGAGGTCTTGTGCCCCTCCCACGGGAGGGATCCTGGGCAGCTGCTTGGCCACCGTGTGCCCGGAGGGCTGGACCGGGTGGGCCTCGGGGTGCCCCACAGGGCTTTTCCCGTGTTCTCACACGACATGGCAGGGGGGCACGGGACGATGCCCCGTGTGGGGGACACAGACACGAGGCGCTCCTCTCGCTGCATTGGCACCCGAAGGGGCCACCCCGTGAGGCCGCAGGCTGGGAGGTGCGAGGCAGGCGAGAGCACGGGCCTCGGCGCCCAGCGCGGGGGCCTGAGGAAGTCGCTGGCCCAGGAGGCCTTCTGGCCACGAGGGGAGGCTGGCCAGTGCGTGGTGGGCTGGCCGGTCCCCATGGCTGCACTCTGCCCGGAGGGGTTGGCCGCGTGCCTCTGCCTGCCAGGGGCTGCCGCCGCCCCTGTTCCTGCGCCTGGGTGGCCGCCAGGCCAGCAGCCTGCTGCGTGGGAAGGCGCTTCTCATGTTCATGGGCTGGAGTGTGCCGGGTGGCCCTTCCCTGCAGGGTGTCCTCTGGCTGTGCTGGCTGGGGAGGCGGGCAGGGCCCGGGCAGACGAGGGCGGGAGAGCCGGGGCTAAGCTGGGTGGCTCTGCCCTGCTTCCTGCACGCGGACTCACTCCCTCCCCCCCCCCGTCTCTCCTGCAGCCCTCTTCAACCTGATCCCAGTGGGCCTGCGCGTGGTGGCCATCCAGGGTGTGAAGGCAGGCCTGTACGTGGCCATGAACGCCGAGGGGTACCTCTACAGCTCCGTAAGTTCCCTCCGCTCTCGGTGGGCCGGGCCGGCCAGCTTTGCGGGGGTGGGGGTTGGCCGTTCTTCGTGGGGATTCATGTGGGGGATGTCGGAGCGCTGCTCCTTGCGGTGGGGCGAATGCTGCTCTGAAAGGCGGCCTCGCGCTCCGGGTGCCTTCGAAAGGGATGCCGGTGGGTCCGGAGACCGTGGATGCGGGATTGCGGCAGAGAGCTGCTCTGGAATTGGGGGCGTGGCGTGGCGTGGCGTGTGGGTGGCAGCACCCGCGTGGGCCACGCGCACCTGTCTGGCCTGAGTCCGGCTGGTGGAAGGCAGGGAGTCGTCCTCCCGCCCGCCTCCCTCCTGCTGGCTCCGGGGCAGCGAAGGGACATCGTGCAGTGGCGGGCTCGATCGGCGTGGTACGGACTGAGAGGACGCCAGTCCCGCGACCTGCTTCTCCACCTCCAGATAACGCCTGAAAACCCTCCCAGCCAAGGGTTCTTCGGCCAAGTGTCCCTGGCATCTCCGATCGATGGATCGGCCTGGCCTGGGGTTCGCTCGCCCCCAGAGCAGCTGGTACTGCAAGGACTGGTGCGCTGCGGCCTGGCCCTCGTCTGCATGCGGTGGCGCCGCCCTGAATTAGCATATAGATTGCCTGTAATCCGGAGGAGTTCGGCGCAGGATGGGTGCCTGCCGAGCCGCCCCTCCATGCTGCCGCAGGAGCCGGGCCCCTCGGAGGGCGGCTAGCTCGCTCAGGACGCGGTGCAGGGCGGGGGGCGAAGCCGCTTGGCAAATCGCCCTCCGCTGTCACCGCATGGATTCCGTGCAACAGGCCGGTTCCCTTTGGAGCCCGCACAGGTTTCGGGGGGGGGGGCAGGATGCCTCGCACATACATCGAGCGGAATTGAATCTGCGGCCCGCGATCGGCCGGCCACGGGGTGGTCTCATGCGCCATGAGCCCGATGGAGAGTCCAATGGCCCGGCAGCGCCTCACGATTAACCCGCGTCAATCACTCGCCGCATCGGGAGGAAGGTGAGGCGAGGGACGCGCTCGGGGTGCAGGGCGATTCTAGGGGGAAAATTACAGTAAAAAGCCTAATAAAACCTGTCAATTTGACTAATTCCAGCCCAATTGCTTTTTAAAAGTGGCATGAAAGGCCACAGGGAGGTTATTCATCAGGGACTCGTTTAAAATAAATAATTGATTCTTGCTGATTTATTAACCAGGGCCATCCGCTCGCTCGTAATGTGTTCACGCTTCACTTGATTGCTGCCTGATTAAAGCTGTTATTAAGGTGCGCACTGGCCCACTCTGCCTCCCGAGCGCGGCGCGTGCCTGGGAGAGTCCCGCTTGTTTACATCGCTGGACGCCCGGCGGGCCAGGTCCCGTTGAAGGCAGCGCAGCTTGCTTCCGAGTAGGCACGCGCAGGGTCGCACGGCAGCGGGCGGCGCTCGGGGCTCGTTTCTGTTCCCGTGGAAGCAGCTCGCTTGGTTTACGGCCCTTTCGTGCTGTCCTTCGGGGTGGGTGAAGGGTGCGAAAGATGCAGCAGCGACACCGGCGTCCTCGAATGGGGCTCGTCATGGGAAGAGGCACGTGCAGGGCCATTGCTGTGCGTGGCCGCTGGCCCTCCCACCTCCCTGCCCTCAGAGCCCCCGGCTGAGACTGGCCCTTGCGCGCCCGAGGTGAAGGATGCTGGGCTGCCCCCCCTGGCTGGAGGGGGCGGGGGGAGGATGCTGGGAAGGGGGTGACTGCACCCTTCCTCCCCCATATGCTGGCTTTCTACCTACAGGGATATTCGGGGGCGGGGTATTTTTGTCTTTACCTTGGGGAACATTTAAATACTAGATGCTCCTACAGGCACCCGGCATTGGATCGGTGCGTTCCATGCGAAGCCTGAACATCTCTGGCAAGCGGAAGTTGTGGAAAAAGGAAGGGGGGTCAGGGTGGATGGGGAGGGGGTGTGCCGCTTGGCCCCCCAGGGCAGGGGGCGCCCTTCCTTTTCCCGCCAAGTCCAGTTGTGTTCGCAGTGTGCCTTTGGCGCTCCTTGGGCTTCGGTGGCCTGGTTCACACGTAATGCCAAACCAGAGCGTGGGTGTCGCTGAACCTTGGCTTGTCCGCACGCCTTGCTCTGCGGTTCAAGCATAACCAGGAGGAGAGCCTGTGGTTCGCGAACTCTGGGTTTTTCATGGCTACCCACTTGTAATTAAACCGTGATGTGTGTTGTAACCGCAACAATGGAGCAGCGACTCGCAATTCAACCCAGATGTGACCCGCCCCCTCGGCTGTTGTTCCGGCTTAACTTGGCCTGTTCCCGGAAAGCTTCCCCCCACACGGCCCCTGCCTTGTTGCAAGGCACGGCACTTGGCACCTCTTGTCCGGGTGGGCGAACTTCTCTTGCGGACCATCTTCCGGGCCATGCCCCACCCCCAGCTGATTGACATGGGGCGCTTCCTCTCTTCCCCTGTGCAGGCGACTCTTTTCACGTGCTCAGAGGCCTGGTTAGCTCTGCCTTCCGATCGCTGCTGCCAGTGCTCCTTCTGCCTGCTTTGCAACTGTCTCAAAGCCCCTGTGCTCCCCGCTTTCCTCCTCACGTTTCTAGGGGTGCCAGTTTGGGGATTGCCGGTATTTTGCAGGGGGCAGAAACGAGCCGAGGCACAGCTGTGGGAGGCGGGGGGGGTGCTGCTGGGGGCAGGTTTGCGTGGGGAAAGGGGGCTGGGGGATCTTGGCAGAGCGGCTGCAGCGCATGCCCGGATGCCCTCGCTGCACACTGACAAGGACCCTGAGTTTGGGGGGTCAGCGAGGACAGTCAGCCACTGTGCCCCCCCTGGGCAGTTTGGCCCCGCACGTGCTTCTGCCCCTTCTGCAGTCACCCGTTTCGGGGGCCGTTCAGAGCAGAGCAATTCCGGATCGGCTTTGGATTGAGCCGCTTGCCTGAGAGAGTCTCTGGGTTATATCATCTTGTATGGCTGCAGTTTCAGTCTCTCAAAACAGGCTCCCTCGAGAAGGGTCACTCTTGAGACGCGCTGGGAATGCAGGGCAGGCCCTGCCCCTCAGCAGCTGCCACACTGCCCCCCTGCTGCCCACGCGTCGGCTGCCCACTCCCCCCACCCCGGGCCACCTGCCCGGGGACCTGCGGGAGTGAGGTGGCCAGAAGTGGCCCCAGCCAGTCGGACAGCGGCTCCACCTCGCAGGGGCTCCCCAGTCCTTCTGGCGGGAGTCTCTCCTGGAAGTGCCTGGAGCAGGGACCTCGGAAGAGACTCCTGGGTCACGCGGGGTCCCTTCACAGAGCAACCAGCCAGCCCCCCGCAGGACCCCGCGGGCAGGAAGGGGGGGCAGCTCCTGGCAGCTGGTGCACGGTGGCGCCCCTTGCCGCTCTCGGAGGGGTGTCGCGCCGTCGGGGCTGGTGGCCACCAACGGCTGCGTCCACTTGCAGGGACATGCCTAGCCCTCACTGAAGCTGTCTGAGCTGGTGGGCATCACTGCGCTGTGCCCCCTGCGCTCCCCCGGCCCACCTTGCGCGGTGCCCTCTTCGGGCACGGGTCTCGCATTCCGTGCCCCCCCTCCCCTCGCTCTGGCCCTGCCCAGCTCTGCCCTGCCCACCTTTTTCCCAGCATGAGGAGCCCTGGTGCACCGTGGTCCCAGCACCTTCGGCTGTGTGAGTGTTCACTCCGCCAAGCCGCAGCCTGGCCCTGGGTGCCGGGGCCCGCTCCTGCTCCCCCGGCCGTGCTTCAAGGGCTGCTTCACGCGGGGGCCTGGGGGTGGCGGGGGGCGGCTGCACCCAGAGCTCCGGCCAGGCACGTCCTCACAGCCGGCTGCAGCTCCCCTGAGCGCCTGCCAGGGCCCCCCCGCCCTGCCCCACCAGCAGGCAGCCACCTCTCCCAGGGCAGGGCTTGGATCCGGGGCTCCCGCCCCTCCCACGACGATCCCCTTCGCCCCCAGCCGAGTCCCTGAGCAGGGCTGAAGAGTCGAGGGCCGTGGCGCTTCTCCCTTTGTGTCTTGCGTCGCTGGTTAAGCTGCGAGAGAAATAGAGGACCCTTCTGAGCGCTAAAAAAACCCTCTGGAAACACCCAGGGGCATTTCCGGGAAGCCAGGCCCCCGTCCGTCGTTTCTGTGCTTTTAATCAGAACCTCTTTTCTGCTGGCGTGCCGTCCCCAGCTGCCTATCTTCAGCCCCAAATTCCATTTGAGTAGGCAAAGTGTAATTAAATTATTTAGTGGAAGTGGTTTGAAAAGCGAAGCGCACGAGCTGCAGTATTAAAGCCCCCCCCCTCCGACGGGCTGGTGTGTGTGGAGCAGGTTGCAGGATGCAGCTGTGCGATGCACTCCAGAGCTTGTTGCTAATAAAGGCACGGGGGGGGGGGGGCCCCCCCCGGGTGTGTGTGTGTGTGTGTGTGTAAGAGCTCAGAAGGATGCTCATGGCCAGGCGTGTCGCTGGGACAGCTTCCCTCTCCGGTCAGCTCAGCCTCTTCATTCGGCTCCACCAGCCTGCCTGATCACCGGCAGCTATGGGGGGGGCCAGCTGTGGCTTGGCGAAGGCTCCCCCTCTCCCGGCCGCGTCAGACGTCCTTGCTCGCCTCCTCTCCCCACATTCGAGGTGGAGCAGGGCGCCCGGGTCTCCATTCCTCGCAAGCCGGGGCGCTCCTGGGCATCGGGGGGGGGGGGGTTGCATGTGTCAGGAGCAGATGAGGAGCGACTCTGGGCAGCCCCCACTGCGGCCGGCAAGCAACCCTGGGTCAGCCGCCATGCAGCAGCCCCTCCCAACGCGGCGCCCGCCAGATGTTCCGCACCGCAGCGCCCAGTGCTCGCAGTGGCCGCACGGGAATGCCACTCAGGCCCCAGGCAGGGAGGCCGCTGGTCAGAACAGCGTGAATCGGACCTGCAGCCCCCCCCCCCCTCGGCATGGCCTGGGACCAGCATCTCTTCGGCAGCCCCTCCCTCCTACGATGCCCCCACCCAGTTCGTAAGATCTGCCAGATAAGCTTTGCTGTGAGTTCTGCTCCGGGGAAGATTCATCTTCGGGCC